AGATACAATCGACCCTGGGGATGGCTGGCACCTTGATGATGCTCCCTGAGTTTATTAACCCTTAATTAACACCAGCCTCTTGGAAGTATCATAAAGGAAGTTTGTGTTTTAGCATATTTTAATTAATATTTATCTGTTTTAATGAATGTTTACTCTGTTTTTACTGTAAACCGCCCAGAGTCACCCCACAGTGAGATAGGCAGTGACAAATTTAAAATATAAATGAATGAATGAATGAATGAATGAATGAATCTACACATGTATTATTTTTATGTGCTGGGTGCTGAGAACAAAAAGACTTTTTTAAACATAGATGTTGGAGAGGAAGCCTCTCTTCTAAGCAGCTTTGTGTGTTGTGGGAATTGCATGAATGGGTGGATAAAAATAGACCTGCTTTTCCCAACCTGACCACACTTCTGTTGTTTTGGGAAAGCAGTTCCCAGGATTCTGTGAACTGTAGCTCTAACACAACTGAAATAACTTCCTAATCTTTGGAGCATCAGCAGGAGAAAGGGGTGGATCAGTCTATTTCCATTCCAAGTCAGTTTCTCAGGTATTCAGTCCTAAATTCATTGCATCCAATGTTCAGTCTATGACGTTTTTAAAAACTCACATTTCTTATCCAGTTTTCCCTCACATTCATATTGTTCTACAGAGCTTTATTTTCTAATACACTTATTTTTACACTTCCATGATATACACATTTTTCTATGCAATGTTCCAAGGATACACTTTGCCCCCTCCTTCCTTTAATATATGCATGTCGCAATGTAAGTTTTTTATAGATAATTTTTATTAAAAGTTTTAAGAGCAACAATAAGAACTAATACTAACTAAATTAGAATAGATGAAAAGAGAGAAATTACAGAAAAGGCTAAAAGTGCAATAAGAAAAGAAAATAGAAGAATGTAGGAAAGAAGATAAAGATATATAGAAAAATATAAAGGTATAAAGAAATAGCTTCCAATATTCTTCACAGCAGTTATAAGTGCAATTATATTTTAACTTCTCTCTCTAAAGTTACACTGTGACTCTTCTCTTTCTATAATCTATCCTCTCTAATCATCAAAACCATAAATCACAACATTGCAAAATACAATTTCAAATCTGGTAAACCCAGTTCTCCTCTTTCCTTTGCATCTTGTAACATTTTATATTTAACTTGTGGTTTTTTCCCCTTGCCATACAAATTTAGATATATCTTTTTGCTATTTTTTTAATGGTACATCAGTTGTCAAAACAGGTATTGTATGAAACAAAAACATCATTCTAGGCAAAACATTCATTTTTATCACAGAAATTCAGTGATAAAAAATGTCACAAAAACAGTGACATTTTAATTTCTTTCTTGTCTTTAATGTCATTCCATGTCTTACATAGTTATTTTGAAATAACATATAATTCATATTTGTCATAATAATACCAAAGTATTTTACTTTTTTCTCAATCTTAAAACCAGTTTTCTCCATCAGTTCTATGTGATCTTTTAATTTCATATTTTTGTTAACATCTTCATCTTCTGATTATTAATCTTAAAACCTGCTAAAATACTAAAGTCCTTTAATTTTCCCATTAATGTTTCTACTCTCTCTAGTGGATCTTCCAAAACTAACAGCAGGTCATCTGCAAATGGCCTTAACTTATAAATTTCTTTTTAAATCTTAACTCCTGTGATTCTCCATCTTGTCTTATGTTATTCAATATTCAATACCTCAAGAACTAAAATGAACAAGAGTGGAGACAGCAAGCATCCTTGTCTTGTCCCTTTTTGAATCTCACAAGGTTTTGTTAGTTCTCCATTAACAATTTAATTGTGCTATCTGTGAAGTATAAATCAATCTTACCCATTTAATAAAATTATCTCCAAGGTTCATACATTCCAGAACTCTAAAGAAAAAATCCAATTCAAATTGTCAAAGACCAGCAAGGTATTTATTGATGTTGGTAGTAACTACTACATTATTCATCTTTATTACATAAAGGTTTCCACAAAATGGAAA